TGGCGGGGGTGTGTGTAACAGTGAAGGGAGGAGGGAGAGCGCCCGGGGGAGGTGACGACACCACGTGTTGACCCCACCCTAGGCAAAGGGAGCCATTCCACCCGCCGGCAGCAGTAGAGGACTGTTACCCACCTGCCTCCACAGCAGGGGCCTGGCTAGGGGCAGGGAGGGTGCCCCCCAGTCCCAGTGAGCTGGGCTCCGGGTCTCCCCCCAGGAGGGTGTGGGACGGAGGGGGGGCAGGAAACCTCATGGGTTTCCATTGCAGGTGGGTGCCGGTGTAACCCCGTTCCCTCTCCCGGCAGCACCCGCACTCCCACCGCGATGCCCGCCCGCGCCCTCTGCCTGCTGTGGGGCCTGGCAATCTCCACCGTGGCCCTCGGCCCTGATCCAGCACCTCGTGTTGCCTTCCAGTGGGGTGAGTACAGTGGGGAGGGGGCTGCCGCTGGGACTGGAGGCAGCCTGGGCAGCCCCCAATTTGGGGCAGGATGCAGGTCCCCAGGGGGATGCCTCTCCTGTTGCCCCCCAAGGCAGGGAGAGGGGCAGAGGGTGGTTCAGGGATGCTGGGAGATCGCCCCTTGCTGGTGGGTGAGGGGGACCGAGCCTGCGGGAGCCTGGCAGGGGGCTGTACAGGAAAGCAGCAGGTGGAACAGAGCATCCAGGGGGCTGGTGTGTTGCCTTTGGGGTCAAGAGGGGGTGAGCTCAAATCCTGCTCCCACGCACTTGCAGCAGGCCAGCGGTGGGAGCCAGATGGGCCTTTCCTGCCATGGCTGCCTTTGAGATGCCCAGAGCCAGGCGGGATCCAAACCAGGCTGGGCTCGTGCCCGGGAAGCTTCACAATCCCCTTGGCACGCTGTGAAAACCACCCCCTGGCAGAAACCCCCTCCCCTGCCAACGCAGGGAGGGAGAAAAGAAAGAGCATCGCTTCCGCTGGGGCCTGGGGGTCTGAGCGTGCGTGTCGGGGGGGCAAAACTGATGTAGGGGCTGGGGAAGCAGCCAGCCGTGGGGGAGCAGGGGTGCACTGAAGCCAGCCGTGGGGGAGCAGGGATGCACTGAACCAGCGCTTGGCCGGGGCACCAGGAGGAACAGCGAGATGGAGGAAGGCTGAGGGGTGCAGGAGGTGCGGGGGGGGTTGATCCAAGCCAGCAACACCCCCGTGTGTGTATGTGGAGGGGTTTAGTCGAGTGCCAGGACGCCTGGGGTCTCCCTGTGAAGATGCTGCCACTGTCCTTTGGTGCAGAGATGTGGGGGACACAGGAGCGATCCCTGCCTGCGCCTCCTACACTGGGGGGACCCCAGGCAAGGTGGGGACCGGGGGGATGATGGAGGGAGCAGCGAGATCTCTGCAGGGTGAATATCTGCCCAAGCAGCCGAATGTCAGTGGTGGGGCTGCTCCTTTCAGGGCCCTGCTTGGTTCCCCGTGAGAACAGGCGCTGCAGGGGGTCGGGGAGGAGAGGGCAGCGAGGCACGTGTGCACACCCCGTCTTTCTAAATAGATATCTATAGAGGGGAATGTATAGATAGACAGATGTATCTATAGCTGTATATCTATGTAGTTATAGATATATATTACTCATGCATACAGATGCGATCTATAATGAAACGTTCACAGAAACCGAGAGCCGTACATACCAGGGGAGGGCAAAGTACGGCCCACGGGCCCCGAAAAATGTAGAAAATCAATACTTACCTGTCCTTGGTTCCTGTCATAAATGACAAGGAATGGGGGCTGTAGAGCCCAGGGGACGCCCCGGCGGGTCCCGCACCTCGGGGCGCACCCCTCCCCCTTGGAAGCCCCAGCACGGACCACGTGGCTGCACCGCGGGGAACTCGGGGGCGGGGCGGGGAAAGCTCCGCCCCCCGCTGTCCTGGGGCTGCCTGCCCCTGTCCCGCACAGACTCGCGCGCTGCACCAGGGGGCGCGGCAACGGGGCGGGGCCGGGGCCACGTGGTGCCTCCTGGGGCTCCCGGCTGGGGGCGGGGCCAAGCATACCCTGCCTTTGCGGGAGCCCGCCGGGGCTTCCTCTGGGTCCTACTGGCCGGAATCCCCTGTCATTTTTACACGAACCAGGGACAGATCAATATTAACTTTCTACATTTTTTAGGGCCCCGCGGGCCGGGTACAATGGTCTGGTGGGCTGGATGCGGCCCGCGGGCCGTATTTTGCCCACCCCTGACTCTAGTTGGTCTAATGATATCACATCTGCCACTACCTTGAATTGCCCTTGCCCTATGGATCATTTATCGTGCCTTGTTCCTGGAAATGCCTGCACCCGCCTTTTTTTTTTCTTTTGGTTTCTTTAAATGAGCAAAACTAGGTGGGATCTCCTTGGCGTAACCCCACCCTCTCGCAACACCTTTTGCCAGGAGTATCTGAGCAGCTCGAAGGCAGTGACTCAGACTGTCAGTGGGAGCCGCAGGACGTCGAGACCTGACCTGCACCCTGCGCCCAGCATGGAGACCCCCCCGGGCAGCGCCGGACCCCCCGCAGCACGGCGGGCACCATGCCGATATCTCCCCACGAAACACGGCTGCACGAGAAAGAGGACGTGCAGGAGCTGAACGACCGCTTGGCCGCGTACATCGACCGCGTGCGGTCCCTGGAGTCGAAGAACACAGGACTGCGGCTCCGCGCATCGGAGGAGGTGGTCTCAGGCATCAAGGCGGCCTACGAGTCCGAGCTGGCTGACGCCCGCAAGACCCTGGACTCGGTGGCCAAGGAGCGGGCGCGGCTTCAGCTGAAGCTGAGTAAAGTCCAGAAGGAGAACAAGGAGCTTAAGGAGCGGTGAGCGTCTGCCCAACTTCCCTGGGCGAGGGCACGGGGCAGGGGCACGGGGAGGGCGGGGGACATGGGGCAGGGAGTGTTTCTCCCCCTGCAGCTGGGGCACAGGGCAGTGAGTGTTTTGCCCCCAGGAGGCATGGGGCAACACATGTCCGTCCCCCCCCGGGCTGGGGCATGGGGTGGGCACAGAGCCGGAGTCCGACCAGCTGTGGGGGGTCCCTGGCATCACCCGAGCCCGGAGCAGGGCTGGGAAGAAACCCGGAGCTCCCTCCCGTGAGGCCTGGCGGGTTTGTGGCGTAGCGAGCTTGGCAAGAGGGGAGGATCGGGGCAGGAGCAGCCTGGCTCCAGGTCCAGCCGAGAGGCTCCCCCCATTAAAGGTCAAGGGTTGACTTCAAAATCTCCTCCCCTGCGAGCAGTGGCTGTGTGGGCAGTGGGTGCTGGTGGTCACAGAAGTGCGAGGGGGTCCCAGTCACGGCCAATTTGGCCCTGCTGCCTGGGTTTGGTTCCCAGCGTCATGCCCGAGCGGTGCACCACGGGGTGCCACGGGGGATCTGCTCTCCCAGGTTGGGGGAAGGCCCCGTGGCTGCGGGTAGGGAGTGGCTCATGCACCTGGAAAGCTTCAGCACTTCTGGCGGTCCCTGGCCCTGATCCCAAAGCCACCGTCTCCCATTGACGTCGGCACCATTCGGATCTGGACGGACTTCACCCTTAGGGCAGAGCCCGCCATGTCCCTGGCACCTTGTTCCTCCAGCCCTTCCAGGGGGCAGGATCAGGGACTTCCCCGGCACCGGGCCAGGCCCTTTTCCCCATCCCACCCTGGGTCTCCAGCCTCTTACCCCCCTGGCCTGGGCTAAGGGACAGGCTGGAATGAACCCGCCTGGAATAAACCAGAAATAATTCCCCTCCGCAAGGGCCAGTGGTATGTTGTGGCTATCCGCCCGTCCCGGTCCACACTGGGTATCATCCATGCCAGATTTTTGCAGCTCACCAGAGTGGGGTAACCAGTAGGCGCTGCTGCCTTTCTGTAACCCTGGGGAAACAGTCGCCCATCCCGAGGGGACTCTGCTGCGATGGTTCTGGCCTGAGTTTGGGATCTGGCCAGGCTGGGTCGGGCACTGGCTTTACAGCTACTAATTAGTTTTGTGGCCAGGGATCCAACAGAGAGCTCTCAACCGCTGGGAGCCGGTGCCATTGCACCATGTCCCATGAGCTGGGGGCACCGGCTGGGCTAGGAGGCTCCCTGGAGATGGGGAGCACCTCGGCCGCAGCCCCGTGACTCGGGAGTGGGATTTGCCTGTGTCATGGGCCCGGCATCCCCTGCCTTTCTGTGGGAGGCTCCTCGTGGATGCTGTCTGGCTCTGGTGTGGGTTGGCTGAGGCTTGCATGGGCTTCAGGAAACCTCCCTCTGGTCAAAGGCATCCTCCTGGGGTCTCCCAGGGGCAAGGGGGAGATGCTTGGGCTCCTGGTAGGGCAGCTTGTTGGAGCCATCTGGCCACTCCAGCCCCTCAGGCTGGCAGATCCAGCCCTGCTAGGGATGGGGGAGCCCAAATGACAGGGATGAAACCCAGGCGTCTGGGCTCCCAGAGGTGCCACGCCCAGCGGGCATCGAGGCCAAGACATTTGCAGCCTCTCGCATCTGTGGGCGCTGGGAAGGTTTCCCAGACACCTGTGGTGTCACACCCCGACCAGGTGTGACTAGGGGTCCCCTTCCCAGCTGGCCTCTCAATCCCACCCCCCCTCCCCATTCTGGTTCTGTGCCTCAGTTTCCCCATACATTAAGGATGAGGGGCAATAACTATTACCGTGCCCAGAGGCAGAGGTGAGGCTGTGGTCTATAGCTAGGGCAGTGATGATCAGGGCCCCTTGGACCAGATCTACGCCTGCGCCCTGTCTTTCTGAGCGGGTGTGTTGGGCTAGGAGCTCCAGCCCTGCTCAACGCCCACCTTTGCCTGGAGCCAAGGCGGAAACACTGTGGGTATTTCCCCTGTCTGGCCTCCTCCAGCAGCTGCATTGGTGCTGAAGGGAGAGAGGAGGAGAGGAAACCCCGGGGCTGCCAGTGGGGGCGGGGGTGTTCAGGCTGCTGTGGGTACAGCTGGCAGCCTAGTTTTCCCCCACACTGCACTGAGAGCTGAGCCTGCATCCACTCCTTTCCTCCGAGACTGCAGCAAGGGGGTGGCCTGGCCTATCTAACTGAACCTCCCTGGGAGGCAAGGGGAAACTGAGGCAGCCATGATCCTGCTGCCATGCCGTCAGCTCTCCTGCCTCGGTTGCGGTCTCTGAGCCAGGAAGGGAACTCGGGTGTCCCCACTGCTCTAACCATTTTGCCACGTGGTCTCTGGGATGCAGAAAGGGAATGGGGGCCTCATGGGGGGAAAATGCAAAGGGAAGGGGGGAGAGATGGGAGTAGAAAACACCCCTGCCTGATGGCACCGGTGTGCCAGGCTCTGGGCTCACAGGGGACCTCATGTGCCGCATGCAGCTGGCTCTGGGGTGGAACGGGGTTGCGGGCAGAGCTGCCCTAAGTGCCAAGCCCTCCCATCAGCCCCTGCTCCAGCGACTTTCCAAGGGGCCAGTGGCCTTCTAGCGCATCCGCCAGTGGCCAACAATTGGCTTATACTCGGCCAATGGGTGGGCAGCGGTGGCACAAGGTCGTGGCAGGCCTTTTGGTGACTCATTGGTGGAGGCGGTGCCCACGTCCTTCCTGGCACTCTCGGAGGCTCCCAACAAGGCCTGGGATTGGTGGAGGACGCCTGGCTTGGCACCCATTCCCACATGGACGGGAAGGGGGATCCAATCAACTTTGATCCCCCTCCTCATGCCATTTCCTGCCCGCAGCACTGGGATGTCTACCATGCACTGGTGCATCCTAGGAAAAATCCACGTGGGTCCTTTGGGAGCTCACGGGGTGCCACACATGACGTTTGTTGGGAGGGGGGTGTCAGGACATACAGAGCTAGGAAGGAACCCAGGCATCCTTTGAGCCTTGCAGCTCTTACCACTGGGCCACGTTGCCCTTCTAAAGACCACCCAGTGCCCTGGGCGTGTCGGGGTGGACCTCAACATGACCAGACTCTGCAGTGTGGGAGTTTTCTTTC